AATGGATTTCAACTAAATTTGTCGAGGCATTTGAGCCTTTTCAATTCGGGTTTGTATTATCCATTTGGTGCACAATCAACTTGAAATTAGATATATATATTTGATTTGGGCTAATATTACACGTTTGGTGCACAATAAAAGGCAAATCGGACGAAGATATATATTTGAGCCATATCCAAATATTAACAGATCTCGATAAAATTTAAAAAGGGTATTTCTGAGTTATATTTGATATATTCCCTCAAAAATTGTTGTTACAGAGTGCATATTACGGCTGCGGAGGACAAAAATAACACATCGGATGAACAATATATATGGGAGCTATATATAATCTGAACCGATTTCGATCAAATTTGGCATACTTATTTTCAGGTCCAAAAATCATACTATTTGGCTGATATTACAAGTTTAGTGCGCAATATAAGGCAAATTGGATGAATATATATGGGAGCTATACCTAAATTTTGACCGATTATCTCCATTTTCAATAGGGCCTTAAGTCAAACAAATTATTTGTGCAAAATGTAACTTTGATTTAATTTTACATTAAATTGTTATTTTATTTTGTTTACAAAAAATAATCAAATTTGGTCTTGATTTGTATAAAAAATGCTTCTATTTTTGGAGGTACCTTTACAGGGGACTCTATCTGAAGGCGGGCTGTTCCAAATAATTTTCAGTAATATTATTTTTTAACTCCATAGAACGTAAAATGTCAAATAATATTACAATCTAGTGTAAAAATGTGACAAGAATTGGTCAAATAGCCCTTATTCGGGAGGTACGTTGTAAGGGGACAATGCCAAAACATGCATCGACTATATGCATTTTGTCACATTTTTTATTTTTAACCCATCAAGGTACCATAACCAAAGATTCATATTGATATCTGCACTGAAAGTATTTTTGGCCGCTGTTCCCATACGACCTCGACCACTGTGCATGGTAGAAAAATACAGGTGGTCGCATCGATACAGCTGTTGGGACAATGAACTGTCAAACCGATTTTGGAATTGATAATGTTGAATGATCAACATTATCAAGTTTTTCCAGTGATAGGTATTTTTACCCCGGGAAACTATCTTTTTCTTGGAGACGGACCCGGGACCCCAGATTTTTGACCACAAAGTCCGGGTTCAAGACCCCGACTAGACCCGGATCCACTTATAGGTAAGAAAAGGAAAGCTTATGAAAATAGCTATCCAACAAGTGGTCACATGTTGGAGTAAGTGGCCACGGTTCGGAAGTTATAGTCAAATTATCAATTTTTTGGACCCAGATTTTTTATAAAACCCTCAGAAAGTCAAACGACACCTATATTGTATATATCGGTTAAGTGGATCCGGGTCTAGTCGGTATCTTGAACCCGGAGTTTGGCGTCAAAAATCTGGTGTTCTTAATCCCCCAAGAAATAAATAGTTTCCCGGAATCAGGATAAAAATGCCTACCTCCGAAAAAAAATTTCGAAAAAATCGAAGAGTTCTTACTAAACTAAAGTTGCTCCTTTTATTTTAAAATAATAAATTTTTTATTTTTAAATCAAATTTTGCACAAGTCATATGTTTGACCCAAAGACGAGCCCTATTGAAATTGGAGATATTCGGTCAAAATTTAGATATAGCTGCCATATATATCTTCGTCCGATTTGCCTTTTATTGTGCACCAAACGTGTATCTCCATCCCAAATAGCATGGAATTTTGCACATACGATCAAATAAAGCCTGCAAATAAGTATGTAAAATTTGATCGAAATCGGTTCAGATATAGCTATAGCTTCCATATATATTGTTCATTCGATTTGATATGATTGTCCTCCGCAGTTTGGGGAAATATATCAAATACAGCACATAAATGTCTTTTCCAAATTTGGATATAGCTCTCATGTATGTCTCCGTCCAATTTGCCTTTTATTGTGCGCCAAACGTGTAATATTAACCCAAATGGGATGGAATTTGGCATTTACGACTAAATTCTGCTTAGAAACAAGTATGTCAATTTTTTTTTTTTTTTTGAAAATCTGTTCAGATATAGCTATAGCTCCCATATATATTAATCATCCAATTTGTTATATATTTTTTCTACTAAATATACAAAGTGGTATAAGGTATCATAAAGTCTGCCCGCACGACTTTTAGTCTTCTTAACTGGTTTTGTTTTGATTTTGTGAAAGTCCTCCTCTTTCGACTCATTTTGGGTCCTTTTCAAGTAATATGTACTTAGTAAACTCTTTTTACTCATTATCAAAACCATGGCAAGATAAATTACAGAAAATGGTTCTTTCATATAACTTTAAAATCTTTATTTTACTATGAACAAAACATTATAAAAAGGTAATAATATAGTAATTAAAATACGGTTCCAAGAATATTTCGTACAAATTAATACAAAATATCAAGTACGAAGTTATTGTTTGTAATTTACAAAATGTCATAAAAATAAATTGAATTCCGTAGTATTTTGTTTTTGCAAAATAGTCATGATTAATCCCATTATTGTTGCAAAAAAACAAAAGTTGAACTCACGATGGAAGAATACAGATGTTATGCTTCTTTGATTACGAAAATTGATATGTAAAAAATATTTAAAAATTTCTGAAAAAATTAATGGATTGTCAAATGTTTTCTTTTACGATGCCGTTCAGAGGTTAATATGATATGTGATTTTCAAATTGAATAGTTTTTCATTCAAAATTTTTAGGTGAGAATACATAAAACGCATTTTTGACTGGCTTAAGTCATAGGTTGGCTATGTAAATGAACAAAGAAGTTTTAGGCTGTCATAGTTAAATTTTGGCCCATAATTTATACTTGTTCACTCTACGCTCCTTTGTTATTTCTTTTCATAGAACCAATCAAAAAGCATTTTATGTATTTTCACCATTTCACAATAAATCAAATAAATCTTTGGGTGAAAAATAATAATTTCTTCTGGCATAAGTTGAGTTTAGGGGCTATGCTTGGATTGACCTGAAATTTTTACCGCAGGTAGGTATTTGTAACCTGATTACGGCAATATAATTTTTTTGTGGGGGAAATACCCGGTTACCCGGTTATTCGACCCAAAAGTTCGAATACAACATCCGGTTTATATCCGGTTCTACGTAACCGATATCAATAAAATGGGTATCATTTGAAAGCTTATGAAAATACCTATCCAACAAGTGGTCATATGACGGGGTTGCTGGAACCGGTTTCGGAGAAATTTAGGAAAATGTGCATTTTTGTATGAGTAATTTTTGAAAAACCCATAAAAACTCGAAAATGGACCCATTATAGGGTCTTAAAATCTATACACAATATTATAGCTAACACTATTGCCTTTCCAAAATGGTCTCACATGTGTTGATATCTTTTGTAGTTCCGAAGATATTAACTTTTAAAGTCGTTACTTATGAAAGCAGTTTGAGTGAACCCAAGTTTTGTGTCGGGTTTAACGTTCTTGTTAATCTGCTTTGTTTTTAATTTGGTGTTGTTAGAATATTATGGATCGCGTAGTCGGTGTTGGACATATCCCAGAGGAGAAAATCTTAAGCCCCGGCCGAAGGCCGGCTGCTTACAAAAATTACAATTTTTAGAAAAACTATGGATCGCGTAGCCGGTGTTGGACATACCCCAGAGGAGAAAATCTTAAGCCCCGGCCGAAGGCCGGCTACTTTCGAAAACTACAGTTTTTAGGAAACTATTGATCGCGTAGCCGGTGTTGGACATACCCCAGAGGAGAAAATCTTAAGCCCCGGCCGAAGGCCGGCTACTTACAAAAATTACAATTTTTAGAAAAACTATGGATCGCGTAGCTGGTGTTGGACATACCCTAGAGGAGAAAATCTTAAGCCCCGGCCGAAGGCCGGCTACTTACAAAAATTACAATTTTTAGAAAAACTATGGATCGCGTAGCCGGTGTTGGACATACCCTAGAGGAGAAAATCTTAAGCCCCGGCCGAAGGCCGGCTACTTACAAAATGTACAATTTTTAGAAAAACTATGGATCGCGTAGCCGGTGTTGGACATACCCCAGAGGAGAAAATCTTAAGCCCCGGCCGAAGGCCGGTTGCTTAAAAAAGCTATAAAGGTCAAAGTCAAATGCATCTAGACTGGAGAAAAATATAATTTAATGAATTCTATCTCTTATATCCACGGAACCACAAAAGATATCAACACATATGACACCATTTTGGAAAGGCAATAGTGTTAGCTATAATATAGTGTATAGATTTTAAGACCCTATAATGGGTCCATTTTCGAGTTTTTATAGGTTTTTCAAAAAGTACTCATACAAAAATGCAAATTTTCCTAAATTTCTCCGAAACCGGTTCCAGCAACCCCGTCATATGACCACTTGTTGGATAGGTATTTTCATAAGCTTTCAAATGATACCCATTTTATTGATATCGGTTACGTAGAACCGGATACAAACCGGATGTTGTATTCGAACTTTTGGGTCGAATAACCGGGTAACCGGGTATTTCCCCCACAAAAAAATTACATTGTCGTAATCAGGTTACAAATATCTACCTACGGTAAAAATTTCAAAATGATCCGAGCATAGCCCCTAAACTCAACTTGCTCCTTTCTTCTATTCATATTAGTGAGAATTTCATATATTTTCGTATAAATTCCCCTTAAGACCAACAAACAAAATTTTTGAAAAAGGAATTAGTATGCAACAACGTGATTGAAGGTGCAATGAGAACATGGCATAACTGCAAAATTATTAACAGTCGACTATGAATAGTCGCGTACTCGGTTTTTACCCAAGTCCATAGTCGAGTTTGATAGCATTTGGAAAAACGATAGTAGCAGCTAGTTCCGCGCTCTTTAGTGAAGATGTTCAATTTTCTCATGTCTCATTCGTAAACAACAGAGTACCCGGAGTCTTTGCTTTCTGTTTATTTTTTATCAAGTATTGCTTTTTGGCCTTTATATTCGCTTCGTTGGGGCGTTTTTCATTTTTGTTTCCCACGCTCGCAACGAACTAGTTCCGGGCTCTTTTAGTGAAGATGTTCAATTTTCTCATGTCTCATTCGTAAACAACAGAGTACCCGGAGTCTTTGCTTTCTGTTTATTTTTTATCAAGTATTGCTTTTTGGCCTTTATATTCGCTTCGTTGGGGCGTTTTTCATTTTTGTTTCCCACGCTCGCACTTTTCGAAACTAGTCTACTCTACTGTCTACTACCATCGATTGGTTGTGTTTGTTGTCGGAGTGTCAAAAAGGTCGGTGGTCGTACTGAATCTGAAAATTAAAAGTTTGTAAATTATTGGTAAAATTTTGTGATTCATTGGGTAAAGGTGCTAAAGTGTTCAAAAACGACCTGTAGGCTACATAAAATCTGAGTGTACGTACCTTCTTTTATGATAACGTTAAATAAACATCTATTATCTATACTTTATATTTATAGTTAGCCCGATTTCTGATTTCAAAATATACGTCCTTGTAACAATTTCCTAATATTATTTCTTTCTATTTACATATGTAACATGTGTGCACATAAAATCATATGTGTATGTATGTGTAGATGTATATGTTCTTTCTGCTTTCGTTGCTTTGCACAGTATTTGCGGGACTAGATATATCTTTGTGCATAAAGTTGTGCAAGCAGTTTCAATTTTTTTTTTGTTAATTTTCAAATTAAAAAATCATTTAAAGATCTATAGGAAATATTTATCAGATGTTGTTTTAAAAGTTATAAATTGATTGTTCCATTGGTTTTATAATACATTCATTAATTTGTAAAATATTTTACTTTTACAGATTTTGCATATGTACTTTCTTTGTTTAAGGAACAAAGAACGACTCTTCATTACTGTTGCCATTACTCACGTTTCAAATAAAGAAGTTGAAATTTCCGCTTTTGGTAAATCAACATTTGGTAATAATTGCATTTAGTGAGGAAGTAATTACTTGTTGACTGAAAGACGCGAATAAAAACAAACGACGCAAAACAAAAGATGCCAGCTGATTCAATTTCAAGGTAATGACAAAGAGTTGAAGGGGTTTTTTGTAAGCTCATGTACAAGTTAACTTCACCACCTCTTCGCAAGCTCCCTGTATCGCATATGCATGTACATATTTTTTGTTTGAAGAGGAGTATATTTTCAAATCAATAAAGCATGTAGGTATTATATGCATATGTGTGTGCATTTTCATTGTTTGAAAGACGCAAAGCGGCGACGGTTGTGTTAATAAAGAAAAAGTTGAACGCAGTTATACTACGTAATTTGAATATCACTCTCTATTTGTTTTTTCAGAATGGATTCTAATGGCTCTAATGACAATGAAAAAAATATTCCACCACAAAACATTTTGGGTACATCGCCAGGAACATCAAGTTTACGCTCCCGCACGGACAGCGAATGCTCTGACAAGTAAGTACTTATTTTATTTCACGTTGTCCACCAATATTTTGCATTTTTCTCGTGGTGTAGACTAGCCAGATTCGTATTGCCCAGCATGGATGGCAGCCCACCAAAGGTGATGACGCTTGATGAAGTAACTAATGTAGTTAAAAACATACAAAATATGGAACTTGCCCATGAAATTGCATTAAATCCTGAGTTTAAATTACAACCCTATGAGCCACCTGAAAACAGGTTTGCTAAATTATCAATCATCAGTTACAATGAATCTATATGAGTTATTCCCATGTTTTATAGCCTTGAAAAACGTATAAAGGATTGCATGCACAAAGCGTTCTGGGACTTACTAAGGGAGCAGTTGAACTCTGACCCTCCTTCCTATGATTACGCTATACAATTGTTAAGTGAAATTAAGGAATGTTTTCCCCAGATTCTAACCCAAAATAATAAACTCATTCTGGATCAAATCAACGATATCTTAGACGAGTCGGTTATTCGCCAACAAGCTGAAAAAGGAGTTCTCGACTTTCAATCTTATGCAAATTTTATTATTAAAATCATGGGAAAATCGTGTGCACCAGCTAGAGATGACGACATTAAGAAACTCACACAAATCGAAGATGTTGTTGACATGTTCAAAGGTATTTTGGATACAATGGCTCTTATGAAATTGGACATGGCGAATTTCTTATTAGATTTTTCTCGTAACGCCATCATGGCAAACTCAGTCGAGTATGAGAAACAGAAATTTAATGAATATTTGGAATATTATAAATGTATGTATACAATTTATATTTTTTGGGAAATTTCTATAATCAATGAAAAATTAAATTTGGCTCATTTTAGTTGGTTTTCCCGCAACAGAAAATTGGCTTCAACGTAATCTCACCCAAACATCAAATGGCACGCTAATTACTGCAGATCAGGCTATGTCGAATGCTTATATGGAGCTCATGGATTGGAAGGAAGATGTTGATTTCCCTGAAATTCTTTCCACAGACAAGGAGCGTATTCTCAAGTTGGGCCAAAGAGCTAAGCGTTTGTGTGTCGGAGCATCTCTAATAGCCATTTGTTCCGCAGTACCTGTTATATCGCAACGTTCCGAAAATCGAATTGAGTTAGCAAAACAATTTGAAATACTGCTACACAGTATAACGAACGAAAAGTAAGGAACTATGCAAGAATAATGTTTTTTATGGAAATAATGCTATTCTCATTGCAGAGAGATATCAGTGGCTATAGATAATATTTGGGAACAAATAAAAACTGTAATCAATAAGTATTTGAAAAAGGAAAGTCAATCAACAATGGACACAGATGCACTGGACATGCTCCAAACGCAAATAAAGCAAATTGCTAATAGGGATGCTCCAGTTAGGCAACTTATGTGTAAGTAAATAAACCGACTCTTTAGAGCATTCGCATACCTAAAATGTTAATTTTTTAGGGAAACGATTGCAGACATATTTTCGACTAGCACTCCGTTCAAAAGGGGGGCTACCGCCTCCACCACCAGGATACGTTGATTTCAAAGATGAATTAGAATTCTACACCACTGCCCTTAAACGTGTGATAGCCTATAATCATTCTGTATTTGGAGAATATTTTTTGCAGATACTCACCCAGCGTCAAACTGAACCAAATAACGAGACCGTTTGTGCAAGTGAAGGTGCCTCCTCCGAAGCTGAAATGTTACCCTCGCAGCAATGAATTTCTATATCGATGTAGTAATTAATTAAGGAATTCACCCAGCAAACCAGAACCGCAGTTAAGGAAAGCCCATATACAAAACTGTGTTGTATTAGCATTGGCTAACATGAATGGAAATTTATGTAAGAGTATTACCGTATAAGTGATTGGAATATGAAGCACATGTGTAATTCTCAGAAAACTATTGTAAAGAACTTTCTAGACAAAATGTATCCAACTAAAGCACCTTTGTCGTCATTGCAGTACTGTTCAATTTTCAGTGAAAAACTTTTCTTGATGGTGCGAGTTTATGAACTTTCTAACTTTACCAAGGTGCGAAACTTATTAAGCATCAAAAATAAAAATTACCAATGAATATATGATTACTAAACCTTAAAACTAAGCTTAACATCATAACATATGGTGCTTACAAACAATAAACAAATTATACTGGAAAAAGCTTCTTGATTGTATACAAGGACAAAAGGTGGAAATCATGAAACATTCCTTCTCTTCCTTAACATTCATACTAAAGGGCTGCAAATGTGACAATTTTCTCTATTTATGCCATGGAGAGAAAATGCTCGTCATGTTGTGCCCTGTTTGATCAAACGCATAACAGTACATGACATCCAACCAATGGTTGGATGTCTCGTCATGTCGGTCACACTCAAACCCATCGTCATAACATGTAATGACCAATAAAAGGGAATGTTGAATAGTGTGTCATACAAAAATGTTCTATCAAAAAAACAACAACAATTATGAAACAATTGCCAATGAAAAAGCCAAACACGTGATGAAGGCAAAGCGCAATCGCTACCTGTTTTTCCGATATGTGAAATAAATTTTTTGTAATAAAGAATTTCATGGCGAATGCTAAAATATTAAAGGCACTTCCACACAAAACTTTCACATTTTGTGGTTATTGACGAAACAATCTGAAATGTTAATTCTTGTTACAAAACAATAATCCCTTGAAAAATGTTCTTATTTTGATTATAATTTCATAAATTTTTGCCTCCATTATTGAGGTGAAATAAGAATGAGTGCTACTGTAATTACTTCCATTGTTCAAATCTGTGCATATTCTGTTATTGAATGAGAGTCAAATCTCTGCCCACAAACTTTAATTTTAAAAGAACACTATATGTAGATAGAAAATAGACAAACAATATTAACCTCTTTTTTATGACAGTCACCAATAAATTGGGATTGTTCAGTATATATTTCATTTTTTCTATTCATTTGTTGATGTTTATGCACATTTTGTTATTGAACTCAATTTTCTATTTATGCGGTGTTTGTTACTTCAAAATTACAGCACACACAAAAACATATCCACACCGTCGAAAGTAACACACACACACACTCTCTCAATTTAAGCACACGTACACAAATGACACACAATTTGACTATGACACGGTTCGATGTCATCGTTGACACCCTGCATTTATGGAGAACACCATGCAAATATTCGAGTCAGCCATGCCACGATCGAACCTTAGACAATGGCACACATGAATCAAAATGCCTATCAAATACATAGCGCATGATTGAGTAGACAAAGTCAGTGTGTCGAAAAAAGCATAATTCATACAATTCGTCTTGTGCAGGCCTTTAATTCATACCCATTTCAAGGGAGTGCAGGTTGATTAAATTAACTTCAAATTTACTAATAACAAATGCAATAAATTGTTCTGTTTATTTGACGCTTTTCTTTCAATATTCACCTTTATTCTACTCCTCGAAGCCGTCGTCACTTTTAGGATAGCATCACTTGTTGTCGACGGCGAACTAATATGGAGGATATATTAAATTAGCATTTTAGTCCTCACAAAGTGCATGTTCTTGGTTAGCATAGGATTCTATGTCGGTTTAGTCATGTCGGTCCGTTGGTGAAAATCATTATAGTTTCTGAACGATATGAAGTGGTTTAAATTTTGTTGAGATGCATTTTAGGTTCGTAGAATTTGGTTTTGAAAATCGGTCATATAGGTCCACATTTTGATATATCCCCGTCAGATGTAAGATGTTTTAGTCGCCTTTTTGAACACTGTAAATTTGCAGTCTGCGTTCCCTATATGTGGGAAACATCTTTGCAAAGAACCATGGTTAGGGTGAGGGACGCACAGTTGCCTTTCGGTAACCGCTCCACTCGGAGACCTGCTGGTCAATTGTGTTCATCCTAATGAAGAAATTGGAAGAAAGAAGGATAGTGGAAAAAAGTGAATGTATTACTGATGGGATGTGTAGTTATACGGGTGACCCACGGCTAGAAATCTTGCCGTGTCGTCTTTAGCCACTTAAGTCTTCTGGCTAATTGAAGAATTACTGTATGGTCTGTGTTAGAGAACGAAGACAAATTATGTGACACTTTTTCCCCACAAACCTGTGTCTCACGTTAATGAGTGCTGGACAGTGGCAAAGCAAAAATTCGATCGTCTCAATTTCGGATTGACAGATTCTACAGTAGTCAATATCATCGCTTTTTCATTTCGAGGTCATTGCCTCACCTTGTAGTAACCTGTGAATATCCCACCACAAGTTTTAAGTCGGACTTCGACAAGGACAGTAGCGGCTTTTGCTCTTCTCCGAGAGTGTGGGCCAGAGGATTTTGGAGATGTTGCATCTCCTTTCGTCCAGCACAGGGGTGGTATGGCCGAGTTCTCAACTTAAATGGTAGTTGATTCGGACCCTAACCTAGCCAATTCGTCTGCAGTCTCGTTAATTGGAATATTGCAATGACCAGGAACCCAACAGAGCTTGATGGACAACCCATGCAGTCCAAAGCAACCTTAGACTTAATGGTAGATGAGTTTAGGGCCCTCAGCGCCGATTGAATATCGATGCATATAGTCACCGAACTGCTAACCTCGTTGTTGCCTGTGACCAACAGGGGTATGGCTTTCTTGACCGCGAAGATTTCCGTCTGGAATACGCTACTGTCGTTTCTAAGCTTGTAGGATTCGCGAACGTTAAGAGTGTCACAGAAGACACCAGGGCCTCATTTCTTGTTCTATCAAAATGTGAAATGAAAACTTTTATAAAGGAAAGAAATGTCAAATGAAAAAATTTATAAAGGAAATTGTTTTCATTTCATATTTTCATAGAACAAGAATGCAGCCCCAGCTCCCGTTCCCGTTCCGCATTCCATCTTTGAACCATCGGTATAGACAGCTATGCTGCAGAAAGGTGGATTGTTACGAGACCAGGTGTTCCTATGGAGTTCTTGCAGAAGTAGAGTGCAATCAAACCTTTCTTTGCTCGCTCCTCGGTGTTCCTCTACCAGCTTAGTTGGCGATCGAGGATAGTGCCGAGGTATTTAGCTTCAGAAGAATGGTTTAGCGTGACCCCATCTGGCATCGGTGGTATAAATGAATGGCATTTAAGTTTCTTCGTAAAGAGGACGAGCTCTGCCTTTGATGGGTTCACGCCTAGTCCATTGCGGCGTGCCAACCTTAATAAGGTGACTAGATCTCCCTGCATCAGACCAGAGATTGTTTGTAGGAATTCCTCAGCAATCAATAGGGCAACATCATCAGCATAAGCGACTACCTTTGTCCCGTTTTGCCCCAGATCTATGAGCATGTTGTTGATAACCAAAAGCCAGAGCAATGGTAATAGAACGCCCCTAGTGACGATTTCCTGACAGATATTTCCCCAATGGTTGAGTTGATAATTCTGCTACTAAGCATTGTATTAATCCAATACAATACAATACGTGTTGCGCCTCTTCAACAGATTTACCTGACACAGATTTACGTGCTGATGACTGTCGTGGGAAGTAGAGATCTGATTTCTATGTCTATCAGCCTGAGAGACTGATTGGTCTCTAGAGTCTAGAGACCAATCTAGAGTCTAGACCTTAGGAAGGGAGTGACTTGATTACCCAGCTTTTATTGTGTGATGGTAGAAGAATGGTAACAACATGTGTTGTTGTACTACAAACCTAACATACAAATTTGTTTTTGTACGTATCAATTTTTTTCTCTCAAAGATTTTCATTTTTGGAATTTGGATTATCAAATTTAAAATGATGAAAATAAAAATGATAGTTCTTGAAATATTTCATTTTAAACTATCATCTTCCCCTGAATGTACTGTTGCTAGCTGTATATTCCAAGCTATCAACACATCAAACAATCGCTAGAATAGCGTGGAAAAAACAACATCCCTTTCAAATTTAAACCAAACTGCATATACAAATAAAGTATTCTACATTTTACAATTTTAGGAAACATTTGGAAACATGGAACATACGACTTTATTATTTAATGTCATTTCGATGTGCATTATCACCATTGGGGGTTTGTTAATATAACAGGGATTTTTCTATTACTAGGTAAAAATATATTCACATTGTCCTGCAGTGAAATTTTGTATCAAAAAAAGTGAAAAGAAATGGAATTGAGTCACAAAACATCATGTAGAATTTGACACTAGTATTGCTGCTACCTGTAATAATTATACCGTGGGTTGTATGATTATTCTCACTTTAGAGCATGGCAGAAGAATATAGGTAGACGCGTCGGCACAGCTGCTGGGACAATGAACAATGTCAAACCAATTTTGGAATTGAAAATGTTGAATAAAAAATTATTTAAATTTTAAATGTTGAAAACTCGAATTAAAATAATGACATCGTATAAGAAAACATACAAAGATCTACTTATATTTGAAAAAAAACATTTAAATTTTTTTTGTCAAATCAATGTTCCCAAGCATGGCAGAAGAATACAGGAAGATGCATCAATATGTCAAAAAATTTAAATGTTTTTTAAAATATAAGTAGATTTTAATAAGTTTTCTTATACGACGTCATTCGGAGGTTATTATAATTCGTGCTTTCCAACAATTTTTACAAATTTATATAATTTTTCATTCAACATTTTCAATTCCAAAATTGGTTTGACAGTTCATTGTCCCAGCAGCTGTGCCGATGCGTCTACCTATATTCTTCTACCATGCTCCCAAGCGTAGATGCATCTACCTAAAGCAAATAGAGGAAAACCGAAACATTGGCAACCCAGCAATGCAAAAACAAAGGGTGTGGCAACTCTAAATGATTGACATTCTAAACCGTACACAAACGAAGTTGTCAGCACTGATAATGTTTATAAATTTGAAATTTTAATTTGAAGAATTGTGGTGTCAATTTATTATTTACTTGATTGAACTTTAAATGCTGCCTGTTTTAAATATTTAAAAGTGTGTAGAAGGCAAAATGTCTAACGCCAGTGATAATTGTGCTGTAAAAATAGCTGTGAGGGAAAGGCCTGTTCGGCAATCCTTAATAAACAGCAAGGAGTCCAGCGTCATTGGATACCACCCAAATCCAAACGTACGTAAAAAGTATATGAAAAAAGAGTGGTATAATAATAGATCCCTTTGTAGATTTTAATCGTTGAAGAGAGGCCCTTTACTTTCGACTATGTTTTGAGTCCTGAAGTAACCCAGACGCAAGTGTTTGAAGATTTAATAAAGCCTCTGGTGAAAAAATTGAAGCTGGGCTTCAACTGTACTGCGTTGGCATATGGGCAAACAGGTACAGGGAAATCGTATACGATGGGATTAGATTCGACGGTAAGTACAAAATAAAATATTAAATAAATGCTGGAACATTTCTAATGGAGTCTCACTATGCCATTTCAGAATTTTGAGGGCGAACATATCGGTGTTGTACCTCGCGTTTTAAAGGAAATATTTTCTGCCGAGACTCAAGATAAAGATAACACTGAGAACGAACCCGTGTTCAAAAGAGAAATATCAGCCTCGTTTATTGAGATTTACAATGAAAAGGTCTATGATTTATTGGCGGAAAATTCTAGCGAGCCAATTATTGCAAAAGGTAAGAAGTGAAATAAAATTATTTGTTTTATTTGTCAACCAATATTAAGGATTTTGATTTAGCTGACACGCTGTGTTTGCAGCCATTCACGTGCTCGCTACCATGGTTCCATACTTGCTACCATATTGCTTTTAGGCACATAGAGAAACATTTCATTCATGCAAAATGAGGAACAACTTTTACAAAATTTTCATAAGAAATAGTCTTAAAGAAAATATCTCTTTATTTTTTATTATTAACCGTGAATATAAATTAAAATTCCAAAAAAAATATTTCTACCGCATTCATATTAAGTAATTACTAAAATACATTCTTAGACATATATTTATAATAAGAAATAATATATTTTACAATTAATGTAGGTTTCAGGTACACTGGCGGGTCCCGCAAACCTTTAACCGACATAAATGAGTGTCACGCCATACTCACACAAGGTAGTAAAAATCGTCATGTTAGACCTACAAAAATGAATTCCCAAAGTTCCCGTTCTCATGCCATTTTTACTATACATCTACGTTGCATTTTGAGGAACACGAATGGCGAAGAGTCCATTATATCGTCTTGTATGAATCTTGTTGATCTAGCTGGATCTGAAGGCGTGAGACGAACCGGTCACCAGGGTGTAGCCATGTCAGAGGGTGTCAACATAAACCAGGGCTTACTATCCATAGGAAAAGTTTTACAAGCAATGACAATGGGAAGTAAGGTTATACCATACCGTGATAGTGTTCTAAGTTCCGTATTACAAGGTAAGATGATAATAAGCTTGGATATATAGTTGCTAGGACATACAATTGCATATAGGATCACTTTTATTTGTTTTATTAAAACAAAAAAAAAAAATGTATCGTTTTCAATATGTGTGCAAAATTGTGCTTTCGAATTTTATCTATTAGCGATCCTAAAAAATAATATAATAATTTTATTTATCGTAGATTCACTAAATTTGAACTCGTACTTAACATTGTTGGCGTGTATAAGTCCACACAGGGAGGATTTGAGCGAAACTCTCTCCACCCTAAGGTTCGCTCAAAATGCCAAGCAATTGAAAAATACTCCTCAAATCAATAGCATAATTGCAGATATAAAGGTAAGTATAGAGAATAAGCAAGTATAAATGTATGTTGTATTGAGTTTGAATGAAATTAAATGAGACCCCAATCGATGGTGTCGCAAACAACGCCCTTCATTCTTGCATGGAATATATCCGATTTAGCTCCTATAAATCCGGCTTCCATAGCATCAGTTGAATGTCCCAGAGTAACTTTTTCACTAAGTATTTCCAAATCGGGTACATCTTCCCCTTTCGTCGTTAAAATAGGCAACACAATCATTGCTAGAAGTAATCCTATAGCTCCTTTGGCTTTAAATTCTTTCTGAAAAGCCTTCTTCGAAAATATATTTTCAGGTTTCGAACCCAACCTGCAACAATGTTTTTCTTAGTATATGTGATAAGAACCAACCTATTGTCTTACTACATGCCTTTTTAAATGTTCACATGCCGATTCATGGTAAATGTCTAGCATTTCGTAAAAATACTGCGCTCGAAATTCTTTGGTAGTGGACGACATTAAGAAATACATAAGGTCAATAATGGGTGAAGCATATCTCATGATTTGCCAGTCAAGCAAACGAGCATCCGCAATCCCCGCATTCTGTAAAATAATATATTTTTAATTTCGTTTGAAAACTATTTCAATGGCGTACCTCCGTTTTATACATTATATTGTTTATCCAACAATCGCCATGGCATATTACAGAGAGCGGCTCGCTGGTTCTGGGCTCCAGTAACATAAGCATTAAGTTATAAAATGATCCTCGGCTGAAGTACGCATTTAGCTTTTCCCAGTAAAAGCTTTCTCGCTCTCTATCGAAGCAATCCAGAGCAGTCTTCTTAAGACTTTCAAAGTAATCATTTAATTGGGGGTCGTCCTTTCGTTGTTCAAAAATGTCAACTATACATTTAAGATCCTGAATCTTTTCGGGCGATTGATCCTTTATGGCAAGTGATGTTGCGTGCAATTTGCCATAAATACGCATTGTTAGTGCTACATGCTCACGAGTCAAGAGTTTAAAACGGTCATGCATGTAGAAACCTTCTTCTTGTATGTCGCTCATACAGATTGCTTCGTGAAATTCTTCACGTAAGCTGAAGTAAAAACGAGGATATTCAATAAACATTTCATTGGGTTTAATGCATTTAGATTTTTGAAAGTCATGAACTAGAGGAAGAAACTAATATAAAATGTAATATATATGTGACAAGTTTCTTAGATAAATGGTACGTACAATTCGATAGGCTAGTATCTCTCTTTGAAATCCAGGACCAGCAAAAAATTGTTGACGTCTTTGAGGATTTTGCGGTGGGACCTTCATTATGAGTTTAAGGTCATTTTTATTGTCACTGATAGCATCACTATGTACTGATACCGTAATACGGTACACAACACCCATGTAGTTATCTCCCTTTTTTGTAGCCAAATCAATATTATAGTTATACTTATGTTGACCGAATGTCTCATCCAAAAATGTTTTTAGTGTTGCAAGAGCACCTGATGATATTTCAGTGTCCTTTATTTCTAAATCCGACATATTTCTACAAAAGTACCAAAAATGCTTTACTTAATCGTTTTAGAAAAATGCAAAAATCAAACAAACCCCATACAAAATAAAACCACTGCAAAATAATATTGCCAATAGAGCTACACCCCTAAAGAGGACATACTCGGCCATAAACGGAATGCCTGTAAAGTCAGTCATTAAAAGTAATACCTTTTGCACGCCAAAGAAGCAGCGTGCTGAGGTGAATAGATGCAATCAAACAGAAATTACAAGCAGCAAAAGGTAAGCATGTGAGATGAATTTTTGTGGACTATACGTACATATACATTAAATTACTACAGGCCAAAATTGTCAAATGTTGCCATGAATCTGCCCAACATGGCACAGCTGGAATCTACTCACAATCGAGAATCTCTCTTCAATCGCAGTTCAGATTCTAATGGATCGCTTTTAAGCTTAAACATATCTTCTTCCACAGCCGTTGATGGACTAGTTAACAACAACCACAACAAAGGAAATACGAAGTAGGAACAATTCGATATGTCGAAGTTAAAAACTGTCTGTAATTATGTATTTTAGTTTCAGTCCGGTTATTCGCAAATATATGACAGAGTTAGAATCCGGTTTGGAGAAAAAATTCATTGACATCCTACAACGCAATTTACATGCCCTAATGCCACCACAAACTCCGGCTGCCGCCACGATGGCTCCACACCAAACACCATTGACGCAGAACATGCGCCAGGAAATTAAAAGCATAATGAAGGAAGTTCTTCAGGACAGTCCAATAAAAGCAAATGCCAAATGTCAGCTGGTAAGATATGTTATGTCCTTATCTTAGCTTTATTTAATATCTGGTGTTTGTCAATTTTGCAATTTAGTTCAATACGAGTGAAGATATGTTCAAAGTTCCTGAAGTACCACAAGGTGTATTGCATCCACCCAAAACCTCTAGCCCTAACATGAAAAGTGATGAAAGAGTCTCTTTCACGGAGACATTTTTCGCCGGTGTCAACACATCCGATAAAAAAGATTTGAATAAATCTATAAGACGCTCGAGACGTATTTCTGAACGCTTTGGCATTGCGCATTCTGTTATTGAAAATGAATTCCAGATTCCAAGTGAACCAATAAACGAAAGCAGCAACAACACTTCATACCTACGCAGAAGCTCGCGTCGTTCTGTTCTTCAAAGGTATGCGGAAAAACGGAATAATGGACGCCTGACAACACATAAAGAGCTCGATGAAATACCCGCCAAATCAGAAACATCAACAAAAACTCCGAATAACAAGAAAGCCAATAAGAGGCTAAAAGACAATAATAACAGTTTAATATCACAGATTTGCAACAGTTCCTCGACATCGACCAACGCCAAGTCAAGACTGAGTAAACACAGGAAAGGAGTTTTGGAACTACTCAACAAAGGTTCACTTAAAGAAATACAGATCTTACCAATGATCGGTCAAAAGAAAGCTTTTCAAATAATAACACAAAGGTGCGTAAATAGCGATACTTGTAATCGATGTTGTTATCTCGTCTTTAACCAAATTACTACTGGTTTCCACTGGTTGAATTGAGACCACAATAACTATTGCCAGTTATCTAAAAAACCTCTAAACGATATTCTATTTCAGTTGCAAGTCATTTTTTGTGGTTTTCTTTTTTGAGACCGCTTTGATTTTACTTTTTGCTATTTAAAACTTAAATGAACAGTATATTCGACAATTGAAAACACATTTAATAGCAAATGCAAAAATCTGATTGTTTCTTTGTTTTTAATCCGAAATACGAATTCTGGCGATATCATTATGACATAAGACGTGTTTGCTCTTGACAGTGATTTGCGACTCGTTACAAGTCGACATAAAACTGTATTATTAATTTATTCAAAGAAAATATAGAATATTTTTGCATGATTTTTTGGATCTACATATGCATAGCAATATAATGAGGTCTAATTATTTTCTTACTCATAGAACTCTTCACGGCAAATTCAAAACGTGGCATCAAGTCGAGAAACTCCCGGTATGGCGTGGCAATGAATGGCAGCGATTTTCAGAGGTATTCTTCTAGACGTTTTCAAAAGAATCTAAATAACATTAATTCTCTTTTTAGGCAAATTGTTTGGTGTGATTCTTAATAAAATTGAAAAGGCAATAAATATTTGCATTACATTTAATTTCTTTTTAATTCATTTGCTATATTTGCTATAGTGTGATATGTTAAGGTTTATAAAATTACTATAATTAAGAAATATTGTCTATATTAAAATCGTTTTGATTCATTTGTTAAAACATAATTTTTTCGACATAATTTAAATGTTAACTATCAATTTTATCAAATTTAAAATGTAGTGTAATAAACAATTGCGTCAGAAATAATAAACGTAACTTACATATCAGCATTGGAAAAATTTCTTGAATTTCCTTTGCACATACCTATGAAAACTTATTGCTTTTTAAGTAAAAATGGCGGAAGAAACGTACACACTGACGAATACCTCTTGTATGAACTGTATAGTAAGAATGTGTGAACATGTTTTGTACAATTCAAAACAAGCAACACATTATCTCTTCAATTCATATTCATAACATGGTTGAATTTTATGGCAGTAGATAGTTGTTGTTGGAGAATACAACGAATATTGGGAACAAAACAAAAAATCAAAAACAATAACAAATATAAAAAAACATACCAGAATAATAAAATATTTGTTGTGTGTATATATCACTCACACTACTTTGAAAAAAAAAAACATACGATCGACCGGCTTTTTCCACAATACAACAACACTGTGTTAAATCATCGCCAAGCTATTTGCATTGTTAAATGGATTGCATGTATTTGGTGGAGTGCTGAAGAAAGATGTGTGTAACCACGCCATGTGGTAGTGTTGGTTAGCTATACCTGCGCCAATTCAACGGTCGCGTATTAATTGATCTTCAAAAGCAAATCAAGCTCAGTTCAACATTGACTGTTTGACTGTGATCTGTGGCTGGTGAAGTACATTTTTAACGGTGAACCAATTTACTTTTAAAAGTTAGTGAAACGGAACTGGATATTTAAAACTGAAGAGTTAAAGAAATACTTAACCGGCGGAAAAAAGTCATCATGCCTATGCAACCTATTAAATTTTATTATGATGTTCTAAACCAATCTAGTCGTGCTTTATATATATTATTGGAAGCTTCGAAAATTCCCTTCGAACCTGTGCAAATTTCGCTTTTAAAAGGTATGTGATACGTAATATACATGTTCTTTGGTTTCTTTAAATCTATACTTTGCAAAATACAAAGAAATTTACAGCAAATATTTTGTCTAAACAACAAACTTCTTATTTTATACAAATGTATTTACTTGTAGACGGTTGTGATTAAGAATTTTTACGGTTCTAAAACATTGATGTTTCTGATATTTCTAAAAATCTTACTTTGAGTGCAAACATTCGATTGAACAAAATTTGAAATAAATAATTTTTCAAATTATTTGGTTTTAGTAGAAAATACCAGAGACATTGGGGTCTCGCAATGTTGGTAGGAAAGTATATATATTTGTGAAACGTCGTCATTTGACGTATAGGCAATGGAATTGACAGTTGAAATCCACTCCACTAACCCGAAAATACATAATCAATTATTGCTTAGGAAATTTAGTATTATTTATTAGCCGTTAAATTATATCAAAATGATCCATCAATTCTCACAGTTTCCCCCAACTTTTTGGTTTTGTTCAATCTTAAGGAATGTTTTAAAACAACTCGGAAAAGACATAGTCATTTATTGCTGAGGAAAAAAATGAGTGTTATTTTTTAACTGTTAAATTGTAGCAGAAAGGTTTGTCACTCTATTTTTTGTTTTTTTTTTCTTTTGTTTTCATACCCTCCACCATAGTATAGAGGGTATATTAAGTTTGTCATTCCGTTTGTAACACCTCGAAATATACATTTTAGACCCCACAAAGTACATATATCCTTGATCAGTATAAAATTCTATGTCGATTTAGCGATGTCCGTCCGTCTATCCGTCTGTGGAAATTACTTTAGCTTCCGAACAAAATGAAGTAGATTGATAAAATTTTACTTTTGGTATTGAAAATGGGCCATGTAGGTCCACGTTGTGGAATAGCCCCCATATAACGGTACCTCGCGATATTTGGTATTTTGATGATTTTAGCGACATTATTCACCTCACCGGAATTGTTTCAAATTTGGTATTTGAAGTTCGTAATGAAAAAGCCTAAGACAAAAATTGTCTGTGCAGGTCCACGTCTTCGTATAGCCCCCATATAACGGTACCTCCCGATTTTCGGTATTTTGATAATTTTAGCGACATTATCCACCGGAATTGTTTCAAATTTGGTATTTGAAGTTCGTAATGGATTCTACAGTCTAAGACAGAAAATTGTCTGTGCAGGTCCACGTCTTCGTATAGCCCCCATATAACGGTACCTCCCGATATTCGGTATTTTGATGATTTAAACTACATTATTCACCGATTTTTTTTTAAGTTTCGCATTAGAATATTGTAATTTCTTTTGACAAAAGTTACCTATGCAGGTCCATGTCGTCGTATAGACCCTAATATAACAGCTTCATTCTATGTTTTTAAGATTTTAACAGAATTTTTAACGAAGTTTATTGTTTTTTAGAATTGTCAAATTCGTTCTAAATGGTGGAGGGTATTCAAAGTTCGCCTGGCCGAACTTACAGCTTTTTTACTTGTTTTCATTATTTTTAACTCCAACTCTTTTTAATACGTATTCACTCGAAGAAGAGTAAGCAAAAGCATTTTACAAACTACGATTATAATTGCCATGTAGATTTAAGATTTTTAATAGTTATTCGTCTCCGTACTTTTAATGTTTCGCTCTTTTGCGAAGATTTTCACAAAAATTAAGGGAGCGCAGCAAATGTTTGTTACAGCCTACAAGCGAAACTGAGGCTTTCTCTTTTCTAGTTTGATTAGGCCCTTGAAGCAATTATTTTTTGAAGTATTGTGTTATATCCCAAATCTGAAGTGTGATCCTGTAACTCATTTTTTGAATTACCGACAAAAATCGGTAACTTTAAAATCCAAAAATTTGATTTGAAGTTAAAGTTGAAAACATTGGTATCTAACGGTAGGTCTTAGCGACTACTTTGATTTCGTCGCTAATTTATGGAAAAAATTCATTAATTATAAAAAAAATTCGTTAAAATATAATCGGTTATAGAATTCCACTACTAATTTGACATATGCATTGGATTTGAACATTGAATGTAAATGAATTTACAAAGGAATTTATGACGATATAGATATTTTAATATACTTACAAAAAAAAAACTTTTCTGATATTTGCTCTGTTCCGGAAACTACAAGAAGCTACTTGTATTGAAATTGTTTTTGATACCATTAAAGTAAAATCGGCTATCGTAGTAAAAATTTTCACATTCTTGCAGTTCTGAAACAAACCAATGTATTGAATAATGTTATAAATAAGACACAACAAAAAGATGATAATGCGTAAGAAAATGACAGCTGTTTTAAAATGTCTTTATGTTCGAAAAGAATTAAGAGCAGCCCAAGAAGAATGCTTCATTTTTTTAACAACGGTTTCCTAGCTTGCTTTATCAATTTCCATAAAACAGATACGACCTAGTTTTGGCACTTGTTTCATGAATCGTACAATATTTGATAATTTATGTATTTAGTTGTCGATTTAAAGTCGCTTAAACTTATACATTTTATTGTAATAAAAACTTTTAGCACTACACTGCTAATTTATGGATGTGTGATATATTAAGACACGCGTATTTTCAAATGGTAAACAAGTCCATTATTTATTTAATGCAAATTGCAATTATCAAAGTGTAAAAATTAGTTCAAAAATAGATTCGATTGAAAATTCACAAATGATTGTGAAAAACGAAGCTTTTTTCTTCAACAACATACAACACAGTTAATATTATAGAAATTTAATTAGGAAAAAATTCTGTTCTTCAACATTTTTAACGTAAAATATATTGAACATTGGTATTAACAATGCGTCGCCAGCTCTTCAAATGCACTTTGTCCCTAGTCCCCGTTCTGTTGCAACGGGTACAACTGATCGTCTTGTTTACTTTTTACAGTCCAAACTTGTTTTTACTGCATATTTTATTTTTCTTTCTTGTTTATTATTATTATTTTTTATTCCTATTTTTATCTTGTTTATGGTATTTCGAAATTCAACACACACCCCTTTGAATTTGCGTAGGCAACAACAATATAAATATAGCTTGCTGATCGAACTCTGTTTACATGTGAAACCGGCTTATCTTAAATACATACATACTTTCCACATAACAAAGACAAAGCAAGCAAACACACAAATAAAGACGAAGATAAAATCATATTTAATTTATACAGTTTCGAATGTCCTGTCAATCATCCTGTAGAACCAACTGAGAGTGAACTATATAATGCAGTTATAGTTAAAAAGAAATGTCGATTACAAACAATTTGGCCCAATTAAATAAGTTTCAATAGAAAAGGGTAAATAAAGGATATATCTGGTCTAAGTCAAACACAAATATCTACAACCACTAGGTATCAATTTGTTTTCAAAGCAAGCATATTTTGGTTTTATAAATGCAAATCACTAGCTATTATAAATGCATACACATATCGTAGTAAATGTAACTGACATGTTTAATATGACTGCATTTACCTTTTGCACATTTTATCACAAATCCAAACGTATTAGATAGAAATACCACGATATTATCTCCAACACAGTAACAAAGTCATACTTATGAAAAATGTAAATGTTTAAAAAAAAAAAAACAAGCAGAATGTAAATGTTGGCGCCTGTAGTAATGTGTGTTCACGTTCACCTTCAAGGCGTATATTGACATTAATGTTCAAAAGCAAAAAGTTCTTTGAACTTGCATAAATCAAATGTGTTTGCAACCAAATAACCGAATAGAAACTATGATTTCACTTACAGTTGCATGGTTGTATGTATGTAAAGCGCATTGATATTATGTGGATTAGAGGGTAACGGTTCCCTCCTAGCCAAACGAAATTAATTGATTTGGTTCAAACAAACGCACATATATTTTTGATAGCTTCTTTTTTGCAAAAGCTAGCAGACATATCACAAGATAAATTCGGTATGAAAGTGATTCTAATTTCGTATTTAGCTTC